TATATATATACAGCAGATGAAGAGTGCCTGAAAGTTAAACAACCATGTCCAACAAGAATAAAATCTTGCAACGACCTGAAACAAGTCCAGAGAGATGCATCATTCCTAAAGTTTTCAATTGATAGCGTTTGGAATCGCATTGTTACCGCTAAAATGCTGTTCATAGCTAGATTTAAGAGTCTCAACAAATAAACATACACGTTTATTGGAAAACAAAAAGAGGACTGAAGTGTAAACAAACAAACAAACAAACAATAGAACAACTATGGAACGATTTTCTGAAACGTTTACATTTTTATCAAATWTATTTTAACAGATTGCAAGAAAGTCGGATCCTTTGTAAGCAAAATGCAAGAAAAAACAGGATAACTTGGGCTACGTTGCAGTGCATTGCAAAATACTGTCTTTGAGAATATGCATTAGTATCTGTAAAAAAGGTTAATAATGTCACATGATGATAAAGAGCAGGCATGTTTTTATGTGCTAGCCTATGTCTTAAAATGTAAATGTTCTTTATGATACACAAAACAGCTATTTTTATTGACATAGGTGTTCAAATCGTGTTCGCTGCGCATTTATGCGCATTTGCTACGCATACTGACTGTTCAAGAATCATAACCTGTGACCTCCTCACGTGACGCTCGGTTTGAACCAATCGTCTGGCTCGTTGTTGCGAGGTGCTCAAATTGTTCGGAGGTGCTCGCCAACATGGTGAGTGTTCGCCGCTCAAAAGTAAAGTTGTACAATATTAACGATATCGATTGAAATTGTCAAAAACTTTAGATGTTATTTTAATTATCATTCTGTTAATATACGCCTTATTGGGATTAAAATGTCGGGTTGCTGTAGACAACAGGTTAGCTTGTCGTGTTAGCATTAGCGGCTTATACTTGCTGTCATGGCGCTGGCTATGATCTGGAAATCTAAAGCTGTATGTAAAAAAGCTTTAACAGGAAAAACAGTACGAGTTTTGCTGCTTATTAAATTAAGCTAATATATACGTTTAGCAATGTTCAGAAGCTGTGGTTTAGGCTGTAATGTTATCGCTCTTCAGTTTATTCTTTTCCAGAGTTTAGGCAGCGCCTCTTGTCATTCATTAAGACAACTAGCAGTTGTGTCTTTGTTAGGAACATATTATTTATTATGATTGTTTGTTATTTTTTTATTGTTTGTTTGTATTTTAAATATGACCAAAGTGAGCTGGACACCTGCATTAATTGCCTTAATTTGTCTTATTTAATGTGTTTTCAACCATCGTTTCTGCTCTAACATTATTATTATTATGAATATTAATATTATTAGTAGACCATCTAGTGTGTTGTTCTTACTAATCTAATGCAGAGTTCATGTAACTTCTCTAAAAGATTCATATTTGTGATAATTAAATGGGAAAACTACCATTATATGCACAACAATGTTACGTGTATAAAGGTAATTACATAAAATATCTAAACTATAATTTTCTAAGCTTGTTTTAGGCCAAATTTGTTACTTTTCTGACTGTTTCTAAACTCTAAATGCTTGATATGAATGCTTAAACCCATTAAAACACACATCAAAAAGGATTTCTCAGCCTTTACATAAATATTTTAAAGAAAATAAGCTGAACGATAACATTTAGGAATGAGGATGAGTTCATTTAAAATTAAACTGGATTTTAAAGTTGAAAACAATCTGAGAGAAACATTTGAAACTCAAAACAAAGGTTTCTGTCCAGGAGATGATCCTGTTTTTATTGTTACATCTCACTCCACCTGCCAGAGAGTTAAACTGAAAAAGACCAAGATTTATATTGTAAATTTAATTTATTTAATTGCCAGACGTCCAGCCCATGAACTGTTGACTTTCAATAACTGTGTCCCCCTGAGCAATTTAGTTGAATATCCTTGTTTCATAATATTGTGATGACAGTAGTTGCAAGCAATGTACACGTTAACACTATATTGGCTGTGAACATTTAAAGTTGTTGGGATTATGTCATTGCCATGTATTTTTCTTTGCAAAAAAATCTAAATAATTTGTTATTGATATTGTGCACAATGGGCCTCATGCAAGAACATGTTCGTATTCTTATCCTAAATTTCTCTTTTGTTCGTACAAAGTAGGGGTGTCCCGATCCGATATCAATATCGGATATCGGTCCGATATCAGCCAAAAAACGAGTATCGGATTTTATCGGACTGCATAAAAAATGTCCGATATCAGCGCTCCGATATTAGCAGTCCGTTCCAGCAGTTCACTGACTCCGCTCCAGTGTTTGGATCCAGCAGCGCTTGGATCCTGCTTGTAGCGCTCACGTGGTCATAACAACAGCAGCGCTAACAAGTTAGCAAGAATGTCGGCAGCAGAACTTTTTATTTTCATCAAAAACAGAGTTGCAGCTAAGTGTAAAGTTGTCATGCACAAGTTTTCCGAGGGGAAACACAGAACCGTGAACGTTTTAAACCGGAGCGACAACTACTCTCCACCCTGGCAGCAGCTTTGCGGTTCAGCCTCGGTCCAGTGACCGCACACAGCCGCGCTGTTTCGGAACCTCCTCTCTGGTCGGGTCGGTGATTCTAAGCGGGCAGAAGCGAGGACAGCACGCTTGTTTTGACATCCGTGGATTAGCTCTTGATGGACAGAAGAAAGGAGAGCACAGCTTTTGTTTTGAAATTTAAGCGCGACATGACGAGAGCAGTGATAAAAACTGCTCCCTGCAGGAGAGAGAGGCTGATCTCCACATGATGCTCAGACTGTAGAAAGTGGAAATTTAGCACTAAGAAAGGTAGCTATCAATTTAAATAACTAATTCTTACTATTTATTTTTTGCTCTTGTTATTAGAGTGATGTTTAATCTGTTTACACACTTGTTTGAGTGAAGATTAAGTGCAATGATCACGTTGTTTTAGTTACAATCAGTAAAATTGGAGCTGTGGACTCTTAACTTTGAACAGACAATAATGTGGGGTTTTGTTTTGTCCCCACCTTCAGTTTTTTCCACCATAAAGCAGCACAAGGCTGACAGATGGTAAAAAAAATAACTGGAGTGATTTTGAATTATTTTACACTGTAAAAGTACATTTTGTTTTTATTATGTTATTTTTTTAGGGTATTGTAATTTATTTTATTTATTAAATTGTATAATGTTCTTCAGTGTAAAATGTATGTGATCCATTGGTTTAAAATAAATGGGTCAGTTTTTCTCATACCTACTCTTTTTCACTGTTTGATCTGATCAAGATTTTTCTAAGATTTTACATTACAAAATAGGTAAAAGTGTGTGACTTGCACTGTTATAGTAACGGGTCAATATCGGTATCGGTCAATATCGGTATCGGACATTTCTCAAAGTTGTAATATCGGTATCGTATCGGAAGTGAAAAAGTGGTATCGGGACATCCCTAGTACAAAGGGTTCGTACGAACATGTCACGTCAGATTCAACAAACTCTTCTATCTTCAGGAAAAGTGTGTAAATGAGCTGCGTAAATTCCACCTGTTCGTATCCAGTTGCTCGTGCACGCGAGAGGAGATTAGCATAATTTCCACCCCAAAAACACCATATAAGGCTATGTTTCCTGCCTCAGATACAAGGAAGTGTCCATTCATGAAAATGACAGCGAAAACTAAAAAGAAAAACTTTACGAGTTCAGAGAATGAAGTCCGTCTGTCAGAGATCCAGAAAAGAAAATCTGTCATTTTTAGCAGGTCAGCTGTGGRATAAAAAGAGCTGCTAAAAGTATAAACAACTGTGTTAAATCATTTTCATTTATTCAGAAGCGGCAGCGTTGCGCACCGTACACCCCCACCCCCGCGCTGTCGCAAGTGGTCTCAGTTGCAGTTCTGAAATAAGCATTTTAAAATGATTTCAAAATAAGTCTGGCACTTTGGAGAAAACCCAGGACTTGCTGGAGGGATTATATATCCCCTCTGGCCTGGGAACGTCTCGGAGTCCCCCAGGACGAGCTGGAAGGTGTCGCTGGGGAGAGTAGGGTCTCCTGCTGCCCCCCACGACCCGATCCTGGATAAGCGGCAGAAAACGGACGGACGGACAATTTATATTGTTAGTCTAAATTATTACATTTAAAATTTTAACTCCAATTAAAGCAGAATAGCCTACTGTCAACATAATTATGGAGTGTGGTTTATTTTCAACGCAAAATATCTTCAAACTAACGAAATATAAAGTTATTAGGGAGGAAAAAATTGGTGAATGCCACAAGTTCTCCTAAATCACTCGTACGCACAACTTAAGAACAAATCTGTGCGTACGAACGGTTCTTGCATGAGGCCAAAAGATACTATGCACTGATACATTGTTGACTTATTGTGCAGCCCTAAGCAACTTTACTAATTGCCTATATTCCACCTGTATTTTTTGTAATTTATCTGTTTGTGATGTTTGCTCTCTGCAGTCGTCCTCAGAGACTAGTGCTGGGCAGAGCCAAGCAGCTTCTTATCCGGCTGTAGCCCCTGCAGCAATACCTCCTCCATATGTAAGTCAGTGTGACCGGTTTCCACCACATTTAAAGTTTTTTTCTTCTTACTAATTGTTTTAAGTTATAATGTGATCCATATTAACATTTTTTTAACATAATACACTTTCTCTTATTCACTCTTTTTTTTKGCTAGATGGCGCCACCAGGAATACCGCCCCACTACCCCATGGGTATCCCCCCCATGGCCCAGCGACCGCCCAGCATGACTCCAATGCCGCCAGGTATAATGCCCCCTGGCATAATGCCACCAATGGCTGCACCGCCAATGGGACAGGTATGTTTTTTGTTTTGTTTTGTTTTGTTTGTTTGTTTGTTTTGCTTCATCTTCTGAGGTCACACATCTGTGTGTACAGTATTTATGCTTCTGCTTTGCATTAATAAAGAAATAGACTTTTACAAAATGGTAATGAGTGAAAACTGTCGTCTAAAGTTGTTTTTTTGTTGTTGTTGTTTTAATATTTTATTGAATTAGATCATTGTGGTTAAAAGAGGCAGGATCTATAGTGACCAAATGTAAAATTTCAAACATAATCTTCATTAGTTTTGGTGAATTTGTAATTGCAAAATAATACTTATCATTATAGTTGAACAAAAAGTGTTAAAATTAGAAGATGATAATTTCATATTGCACAGAAGTTGTTTTAAAACTCAGTATTATTACTACAAGCTGTGTTTTACACTAAGAAGAACGGCATGTTCATCTTTGGTCTCAGCTTCTCTCCCAAGCTACATGCAGCCCTCTAAATCTGACACCCCCTCTTCACACTGTGTCTTAATACTTGCGCCTTGACTAGTTGGTAAAAAAAAGCCAGATGAATATTTCACAATGGTTCTATTTTTAGATGCCAAGCATGATGCCACCCATGATGCCAGGAATGATGATACCCCCTCGCATCCCAGCTGCAGCTGTACAGCCAACAGGACCAGTATGTTTCTGAGGGTTCTTCTTCACACATTTTAAAAATAAACCAAATCTGTTAAATGCTAAATAAAACATTTGCACAGCCAAGTAACTCCTTTATAGACAGTGAGTAGATGTAAAGAAAAAATCTTGTCCTTTTTTTTAAGTTAACTTTTGATTACATCTTTTGGCTGTTTAGTTATGTACAGTCTGTTTTTTTTTTTTTTTTTTGGTTAAAAATCTTCAGTGTTTTTGTTTAAATAACTCACAAATATATATGTATATATTTTTTTTCTTTCCAAAGCCTGGTGTTGACTCCACAGGTAAGAACTTTACAAATAAATTTCTTTCTTATTTTGTTTTCATTACATCTGCAATGTCTGATTGTTTTTTTTTTTTGTCTCTATCCTTACAGCTGCAGCACCACCTGGAACAACTGTATGTTTATTACTGTTTTCTTCAGAGCAGTTTTTACAAGTTTTGACAATGCTGATGTCTTGTGATTGAATACCTTAGTTTCAGTTTCATTCCTTTTATGTATTTGTCTTGTTTTTGCAGAGCACTACAAATGGATCGCCACAGGAAGAACAGCCAAAAAAGGTTTGCACACGTTTGAAACAAAAATACTTTTTTAAAACCAGATGGAATCATTTTTAAATTTTTTTTTCTTTAGTTAAAGAGAAACAACCTATTTTCAGTGTTTGTGGATTTTTATTTATTTATTTTTTCCTGTTAAAGTCTGTGTGGACAGAACACAAATCRCTAGACGGGAAGACCTATTATTATAATACAGAGACGAAACAATCCACATGGGAGAAGCCAGACGAACTCAAATCTCCTGCAGAGGTACAAACATTTCTCACTTATCTAGCATTTGCACAAGATAGAGTTAATGTTAATAAGCATGTTATTGGCAAATTTATCGTGTTTCCAAAAATAATGTTACACTTTTTAACTTCTTTTGTTGGCACTTAGGAATAATTTCAGCTCATTAAAGTGTAAAAATACTGTATTTAAGCAGAGGTTTTCTCCTGTTTTAGGTAAAACAGCTGAAATGCTAAATACATTTAATTTTATTGTAAATGCATAGTAATTGTATTTATTTATTTATTTTCAAGTATGGGATGTATGGATCCTGACTTTTCACTAATTCTTTTTGTAGCAACTGCTGTCTAAATGTCCATGGAAAGAGTACAAGTCGGACACAGGAAAGCCTTATTATTACAACTCTCAGACAAAGGAGTCCAGGTGGACCAAACCCAAAGAGCTGGAAGACCTGGAAGGTAAACAGCTTCGGCCTCCTGTTGTCAAGTCAATATAATGAGCAAAATAGTCCAATCCTTTCAAACTGAGTCGTTCAGCCAGTGACACGGTGCACGCATGGGTTAGGGGATCACTGATGCACAAACAGAACCTCAAAAAGAAGAAAATGTGGGTCTACTGGGTGCATTGATCTGTATGTTGGTCACTTCTTTGTAATTAGCTTCAAGATGAAAGCAGGATGCTGATGGTGATGTCTTTATTTTATTCCAGCTATGATCAAAGCAGAGGAGAACGGGTAAGAATCGTTTTGTTTACCTTTCCCTCCTCACATCTCTGCTGTTCATTGAAATATATTTAAATTTATTACAAACTATTTCTGTGTCCTGTGACCGAAAGGCATGAATTTATCATCTAGGTTTGATTTCAGGACTACAGAGGCCGTGGCCCCTGGAACAACTGCAGCTCCTGCTGTTCTGCCCGACAGTACGACCACTACAGCGACAGTAATGGAGGTGGAAACTGCAGCAGCGGTCGTCTCCGAGGAACCACAGTCCCAGGTGACCATGAATCAAACAGCTGAGGTCAAGCCTGCAGAAGCACCTGTGACGTCCTCCGAGAGCGCAGTCGTCACAGAGAGCACAGCCAGGTAAACAATCACGACTCTTATTTTAAAAGCAAAGTTCACCTTCAAATAAAATGTAAATCTTTCCTCTGGCCTGTTGTTCTGTTTATCCACTGGTGTTCAGAAGCATTTTAGACACACTGATGGAAAACCTTTCTGCTTCTTCTTTCAGAATCTGTTGGAAATCTTTAGGCTTTTTCCTTTAACAGATCTGCAGATTTTTAGTTGTTTATTCTTTTCACTGGGTGGTCACACAGACCGTAAGTCATCACTTCATCATAACCTTGATCACCAGTTCACATGGCCACCATTTTACCTCTGTTACTACCTTGCTTCATGGGATAAAGGCACATCGGGGGTGGGCTATTTTCAACACCCCTCACAGCCTCAGTAGGCCTGTCGCGATAGTCAATAAATCAATTAATTGCACGATAAGTTCATTTTGAGGTTGGTAAAAAAAATGAGGACGATAAGTTTCATTTTCCTGCTTGTTGGTTTACTTCGTCTCTCTCCCTCTATGTGCTCCGCTGCACAGGAGCTCAGCTGACTCCTCCCCTCCTGTTTTCTTAGTGTTGGGAGGAGTGAACTCTCGCGTTAGCGTGAGAGCTCGTAGCAATAACAAACTAAAGAAACGTTTCAAAGCAGAACGCGGCTGCTGCAGTGTGGGAGCACTTGCAAAGCCTGAAATTCGCTGTAGGGAGACACGGAGAGAGAGAGAGGAGGAGAAGGGGTGGGGGCTGAAACTCCCCCAGACCTGCGACAAACTCGTCAAGACTTTACCTGTAGCTCCCAAAAATAACAGGAAACTTAAACGCACCATCTGTGTTTTAACAAAACACCAAAAAAACCTGTCGCTGTCCCAACAACTCATGAGGAAAACTCTGAACTGTCTGATTTCCTCCCCCGCAGCGCTCTGACTGTCTCCTCACTGACTGTCCCCTCCTCACACACACATAGACACGTTTGTTCTTCTATCCTCATTGGGACTTTGCATTGACTTTCATTCATTTACCAGTATTTTCTATTACCATTTGACCCTAAACCTAGCCTACACTTTACATGGGATGTGAACTGGGCTTATGTCCCCATAAGAAACAGTGGGTCCTCACCAGGCTGTGTAGTTTGCTTCATCTCTAAAGAGATGCTGCTCTTTAATATTGTTTATTTACTGTCTTAGTTGTGTGTGGTGTTTAATTTACATTTTTTTGTTCTTTGTTTTTTTATTCAAGTGCATTTTTTGTTAGAGACTGAGAGTCCACTTTGTTAAACATTCTTTTAAAAATTAAAGTTTATTTATTTATTACACTTACATATTACGCTTTTATAATTATTAGTTGTAAAATGGTCATCAGGCAATATTATCGCTTATCGCAATAATTTTTGAGACAATTAATCGCCCAGCAAAATTTGTTATCGTGACAGGCCTAAGCCTCGGTCCACTGAGGAGACGGCCAGGGGGTGTCTGAGTCCTGGTCGGAGGTGTCTTGACGTTGCTTGAAAGGAGTTGTTTTGATGCTCATTTTCTTTAACATGTAAATCTGGAGTTCTCTCTGCTGAGCTGTAGGGGTGTAATAACACATTGGTCCACTTTAATATACTGATTAAATGATGCAGTAATGATGTAATTATATCAAGGCAAAAGAAAAACTTTGATCTGTATCATCACTATATGCCTGGTGTGGGTGAATATCATATTTATCACAAACTTGTGAGTTGACAGATCTTCTATAAGTCTGTTGTTGAGAGTGTCATCTGTTGGGGCAGCATCATCAGAGCCAGGGACCTAAAAAGGCTAAACAACCTGATAAAGAAGGCTGGTTCTGTTCTGGGGATGACTGTGGGATCTCTGGAGATGATGGTGCAAAGAAGGAGTTTACATAAAATCAAGAACATTGTGGACAACCCTGACCATCCTCTTCATCAAACTGTCATAGAAGAACAGTGTCTTCAGGCTGAGGCTTCTTCAGTTTGGTTGTAACACAGACCAGAAGATCTTTCCTGCCCACAGCCATCAGCATCTACAATTGCTGTGTCCAAAACGGCAGGACGGGTCCTCTGAAGGTCGAATTTGTCGGCCGAATACGTCACAGCGCCGCGACGAAGGACGTCCAAAACCGAAGACTCCTCCAATGCGGCCGACAAATACGTCCTTCCTTTGGCCCGAATCGAAGGACAGGTCAGATGGATCCTTCCCGGCCCAGCATATCCCATAATGCATTGCGGCCCGACCGGAGATTTTTTTATGCTAGTAATGGCGGACGAAGCGAGAGAAAAGAATACATTTTAAATAAAAATATGGTGATATAAAAATTTAAAAAAATAGTGGATGTAATTCTAATACTTTTATAATTTGTATGGACATGTTTTTAAATATTAGTTTTTTCGTCATAAAAAACGTGAAATAAGCATGAACCTACAGCGGGTCAATTAGTTCTTCAAATGATACCTTTAAGTTAATTTTATAGTTTTGTGATATTAATAATGCTAATGTTTTGATAATTTTTTAGTTTTGATTTAAGTTTGCTTGTTTAGCGTCGTCACAGTTGCTAGGTGACAAGACGTACACCGGGGTAAGGAGGGGAGGCTAGACCATCCAAATTCACAGCCTCTTTTTTTCCGGTCTTCCCGGTCTACCAAGGMCCCGGCCCRCCGCGACCGGGGAGTCTGGGTCCTCCGGAGGACCCGGCCTGTCGTTTTGGACACAACCAATAATTCTTTAGTTACATGAGAAAGACATTACTGTTTAAGTTTTCAACCATATTTTTGATGGTTTAAGCATCACAAACCAATTTCTTATTCACTTCTATTAGATCTGAGAAGATACAAAAAGCATCTATCCTTCTGCAGTTCACACCAGTAGAATATGTGGATAATTAGTAATAGAAACCAGAGGGGGAAAAATATAGATGCAGATGGTCTATTTAACGTGTAAAATAGAAAACAGATTAGATATGACCACATTACTTCAAGCTATTTCAGTTTTATATCTGCTGTCATGTCCTCTCACATCACAAATGGTCACAACATATTGTAGAATGGAAATCAGCAGCATTTTTCTTATAATCCAGTATGAGTGGAACATGAAATTCTACTTTAGCTTACAAAAACACTTGAAAGAAAACACAAGATTCGCTTTTATCTTTTTTTTTATTTTCTCAAACTACAATTGACTAGTCATAAATCATGAATAGTTGCTTAATTTAGACTGCTGCCAGGCAGACAAACAGTTAAAGTTGAACAGAGGGTTTTTTGATGTGTCTTAAATTTAAATCGGCAGGTTTATCTGTCCTTCTGCCCTCAGATTACTTTTTCATATTATTGAGCCGTGACTTGTTGACAGTTTCACCTCCGAGTCTACCTCTCATCTCGAGCTCATCCTGTCACGTTTCCTTCGTTCCCAGCGTCGAAGTCAAAGAAGAACGGCCCGAACCTGTGAAGAAAGTCTACAAGTGGAGCACAAAAGAAGAAGCCAAGCAGGCCTTCAAGGAGCTGCTGAAGGAGAAGGTGAGTCAGGCCGTCACTCTGCGGKGGGTGTCTGATCAGCAGGTAGTCAGCAGTCATGTCCTCATACTAATATTTATGCAACTTAAACAGGAGTTTCTGCTTTTTTTTCTTTAATTTTTGAGCTTCAAATGTTCAAAAACGTGACGTGAGCCCCGGGATATTTTAGCTACCTCCGTGTCTGCTGATGCTCGTGTTTCTCATCACACCCTTTGCRTCTGGATCTTGATCTAATCCCCCTCTTCCTCTCCTCGGCCCCTGGGAGGTGTGTTAAGCTCACCTCCTGTTGCTGTGGACGTGTTGTGTTTTCAGCTCCAAGGCCGCCACCCACCTAGAATGTTACTATATTTAGGCGCTCTTAAATTTTGTGCACAACGCTCTCCTTTGAGATTGCTTGCCATTTTCTTCACGATCTTAATGGGTCTGTCTTTATGATTAGCTTTATTGGATCACAGGCAGAGAGKGGGGTGGCTGGGATTAAGACACTGGGAGAAAACGGCATGCCTCACTGAGTTAGAATAACTGACAAGTGACGAGACAGACGAGCGCGGTGGAATCAGTTCATAATGGATGAAGAGTCACTTTCTGGGTGAGGCAATGGGCAGAAAGGGTGCTTATATAAGTCCTTAGTGGTAATTTTTTAGATTATTGCCTCATCATACTTTTCCTAACAGCTTTTATTAGCAATTAGGAAAACATGTTGCAGCAAAAACTAAAAAAACCTCCGTAAAGTTTTATATATGACCATTATTTTGAACTGTGTGGTTTAGGGTGTGGCGTCGAACTCCTCCTGGGAACAGGCCATGAAACTGATCATCAACGATCCACGCTACAGGTATAATCGAATTACTTTGTTTCATTAACTGCGCTTTATGGAGAGAAAACAAGCCTCGCCTTAACTTACTTTTCCATCCACAGTGCTCTTCCTAAGCTGAGCGAGAAGAAGCAGGCCTTCAATGCCTACAAAGTCCAGACAGAGAAGGAGGAAAAGGAAGAGGCCAGAATCAAATACAAGGAGTCCAAAGAGACCTTCCAGAGGTTCTTGGAAAACCATGAGAAGATGACATCTACCACTAGATACAAGTAAGAGCTGCAGTCATGTTTTCCATGCGTGTTTGCTCAGGAATCGATTTGTGGCACTCTCAATTTGATGATGTGGACCGGATCCATTAAAGGTCATTTATGGTTTACACTGCTGCACCGTTCTGTTCCACTTAACCTCCTCTGATCTGACGGCTTCAGTCAAACTGATACAGATCAGTTAGTTTTTACCAAAACAAAACTTTTAAGTCAMATTCAGACACAAGAAAACAATTCAAACAGTTTGATCTGAATGTTCTAATTCCTTCTTTTATCATTTATTTTTCACAATTTCCAAGAAAATACTAAAGTAGTATTAAAATTTAGGTAAAAACACAACAACTCAGAACAACATCTTGATTATTAAATATAAATCATTATATTCTAGTATATATTAATGCAAGTGGTCTTTTAAACATACACCTAGTGGTTTATATATTTTAAATGTAAATTTGTTGCTGCTTTTTAGCAGCAGTTTTTGAGTTTTTCTGGTTAAAAATCTGGGTGAAGGTCTTCACGATGGACCGATCGACTCGTGACCTTGACAGCGAGTCGGTTCCAGGGTTCTGCTGGCACCAGCTTGTAATCTGGGATGACACACAACAGGCGGTTGGAGAGTGATGGCAGAGCTGTGTGTCTTTATTTAATTAATTTCTCTGTTCTTTAAAGCTGCTGGATCTTCTTAAATCAGTATCTTAAAATCAGGAAAGGAGATGTTTTTCTGTGGACATCTGAGTTAAAGCTGTTTTTAACATCTTATAGAATTTATTTATATTATCTTTAAATCTGTGTGTGATGGCTTGTATAGAGGAGCAAGAAAAAAATGTGATAAGCTACATTTGTCCTGTGAAACACTGCCCTCATGTGGGTTTTTGTGTCCAAATATTCCAACCCTTTCCGTGTCCTTTTTCAATCCAGGAAAGCAGAACAAATGTTTAATGAGCTCGAAGTGTGGAGCTGCGTTCCTGAGAGAGACAGGCTGGAGATCTACGAGGATGTGTTGTTCTACCTTGCTAAAAAAGAAAAGGTGGGATGTTGTTTTTCAGCCCATCTAAAGGATTTTAACCACAAAACAGTGATTATAACTATTTTATTTTTGTTATGCAGGAGCAAGCAAAGCAGCTGAGAAAAAGGAACTGGGAAGCTTTGAAGAACATTCTGGACAACATGGCCAACGTGACGTACCGGACCACCTGGTCTGAAGCGCAGCAGTATCTGCTGGACAACCCTACGTTTGCTGAGGATGAGGAGCTGCAGAGTAAGAAGATCACAGTTGATCTGTTCATCTGCAGCTTTATTATGTGAGGGGTTTCCTGACGGTGTCGTTATCTGCTGACAGATATGGATAAAGAAGACGCCCTCATTTGTTTTGAGGAGCACATCCGAGCCCTGGAGAAAGAGGAGGAAGAGGAGAAACAAAAGACTCTTCTCAGGGAAAGAAGGCGGCAGCGTAAAAACAGAGAATCCTTCCAGGCACGTGTGTCCAGATCGTCCCACACTGTGGTGTACGCTTCAGGTTCACAGAAACGAGCGTTTTGTATTCATGTTCTTTGTTTCTCAGAAATTCCTGGACGAGCTCCACGACCACGGTCAGCTTCACTCCATGTCCTCCTGGATGGAGATGTACCCGGCCCTGAGCTCCGACATGCGCTTCGCCAACATGCTGGGCCAGCCTGGTATGACATCAGGCCCCGTCACACGTGACCACACGCGTGAGCTCAAAGACCTGAAACACGTGCACAGACATGAGGACAGAAAGAAACACAGAGAAATACACACAAACTGTATAAATTATATCCAAGTTTCCCTCGTTTTATAAACTATTGTGTTTTTCCTGCAGGTTCCACTCCTTTGGACCTCTTCAAGTTCTATGTGGAAGACTTGAAAGCTCGTTACCATGATGAAAAAAGAATAATCAAAGACATCCTCAAGGTTAGATTATGAAAACAAAATCGATTTGGCTTATTGTCGTAATCTGGACCATATTTATTTGACTCTAAGGTGACGTTCACTGCAGGCAAACCCACACAAATCCTTTTTCTTTTGCCCTGTATCAGAATTTTCCCTGAAAAATCAGATTTTTTAAAATCGGACTCAGGCCTTTTCAGTATGATGTACTGACTCAGATACATATCTGATGTTTTTCAAAGCRACTGCAGTCTCATTTCACCTGACATTTACAGTTAGTTGGGGGTGAGTGGATTGATCTAATAATAATGATGCTAACCTCGAGTCCTGCTGTTTAAATCTCCACATCTTCAGATACAGAAGTCCAGTTGTTTCGTCTTTGTTCTTTTAATTTTCCATGTCTGATGACRGAGAATCTACAGAAATATATGAAAGTAACGTTGGACCAAATCGATGCTGAAGTTACCTGCAGCACATTGGTCCTGTTACAAAAATAAAAYGCTGCACCGGAGCATCCGGAACTAAACAAGATAATTATTTAATCAGCTCTGATTGTGCGACTTCRGAATCGACACGCTAACATGTAGCATCCATGTTTAGCTACCTCTCTAAACAGCCGGCTGAATGTGACATTGCGTCATCTTTTGTGCATGTGGGTCACATCAGTGCCATGTAGAGTTCACACAGGAGTCTGATGGAACTCACATTTAAAATATAATATGAACATTCATGCAAAAAAATGTAATTTTTGCAAAAATTCGGGCCTGCAGTGTAAACRTAGCCAAAGAGTGTAGTTCTGATGGTTTTATGTTTGTGTGATTATCCAACCTGTTGATCGGTCTGTTTTCTGTCTTCCTTCAGGATAAAGGATTCTCAGTTGAAGTCAACACCAGCTTTGATGACTTTGGATCAGTTATCAGCTCAGACAAGAGAGCCACCACTCTGGATGCTGGAAATATAAAGCTAGCTTTTAACAGCGTGAGTCCCAAGCTTACAAACTGATGGGTTCATCAAAGTTAGGAGAACTGCACAAAACTGTTTTTATATCAATATAATAAATGTAAAAATGTATGAAATGTAAGTTTTAAAACCATGGAAAGGAACAAGTGATATAGGTGGTTTAGTGGTTTGTTTTGTATTAAGTTTCCAAACTTTTCTTTGCCAACAGTTACTGGAGAAAGCTGAAGCCAGAGAGAGGGAGCGAGAAAAAGAGGAGGCCCGCAAGATGAAAAGAAAAGAAGCAGCTTTCAAGAACATGCTGAAGCTGGCCACACCGCCTCTGGAGCCAGAGGTGACATGGGAGGAAGTACGTACACGCTGTCATTTCTCTGTTTAGACTGCTCTCCGTCATGTTTAAGAGTTTGTGATGAGTGACTTTTAACTGTTTTAGGCCAGAGAAAGATTCCTGAAAGAACCAGCGTTTGAAGATGTGACGCTGGAGTCTGAGAGGAAGAGAATATTCAAAGATTTCATGCACGTCTTGGAGGTGAGGCTGAGACGAGGTCGGGGGAATTCATTGGTTTTGTCAGCCTCCGCGGTGGCGATGTTTATCATTTGTTTTTTCTTTCAGCACGAGTGCCAGCATCACCACTCCAAGACGAAAAAGCACTCTAAAAAGTCCAAGAAGCACCACAGGAAGCGATCTCGCTCTCGATCGGTTAGTTCTTAAACTCAGATTAAATCTTCTCTACTGAACAAAACCTGATCCTTTTATCCTTCTGAAAAAGGCTTCAGAGTCTGAGGAAGAGGAGTACCATAAGAAGAAGAAGAGGTCGCCGTCCAAGTCGCCCTCAGAACGCTCATCTAGTGGAGAGTCTGGTTGGTTTTTTTTCACTTCAGTGATTAGTTGATGGCAGAAATGCAGCTGTTTAACTGATACTTTGTCTGAAAACAGAGAGAAGCTATAAAAAATCCAAAAAGCATAAGAAGAAGGGCAAGAGGAGACGCCACAAGTCTGTACGTACACTCACTTTGAATCAACAGTGTGTAGTCTGCGCATCTCTGACTGTAACTATGACAAACAGGCCTCGCCGGACTCTGACAGCGAGAAGAAAGGACGAGAGCGTGACGGCAAGCGTGAGAGGGACTCTGAGAAGGATAAAGAAAACGACAAGTCTCGAGGGAAGTCTCGCTCCGAGTCCAAACAGAAATCTCCCAAAAAGAAAGCAGCCAAAGAGGAGGTGATTTTCTTATTTCTTTAAACATTAACGTGTGCTGTTAGCTAACTCACTCAGGCTCCAAGGCCTCTAAACCACTGGACTGTTTTTATCTACAGGGTGGCTGGGATACATCAGGCAGTGAGCTGAGTGAAGGAGAGCTGGAGAAAAGAAGAAGAACTTTACTGGAACAGCTGGATGCTCCTTGATACTTCTTGTAGATCTGTTTTTTTTTTTTGTTGTTGCTATTTGTACACTTCAACAAACATGCATTCCCTGCAGGCTCAGCAGACTGTGCTGAATGAGGAAACACCTCGCGCCGCTTTTAATGGGTGTGCACTAACTTACTGTTCACTCGTGACTAATTTGATATCAGGAAACTCATCAGCTGTTCAGTTTGTAAACATCCAGCTGTCTGTTGTTAGCTTCAACTTTTTTCTTTAGCTGGCTGTAATTTGTTTTTCTCCATTGTCCATTTTTATTTGAATTAAAAGCTTGTTTTAAAGTCACCCTCACTCATGGTTTATTTTAGGTTTTAACTGTTATCTTCAGCCAAAATCCAAGTGACACCACTTTAACAAATCAAGAAATTTAGTCTTTCATCCGGACACTTGATTTGTCAACAATTTAGTAACTTCCATCTTTAAAATCAACAAATGACAGTAAATACAATTTTCATATTTTGACTAGAAAGCTTTGTCATTTAGGAGGGAAGAATCTGGCCTGCAGTTTATTATAGCAACATTAAAACAAGAAATTAAAAAGTACTAAACTACATTCCCACTCAGAAATATGAGCAGTTTTTTTCCTACTCTTTTGAGTTATTTAGGTTTATTTGAAACATTTTTTAAGACTTCAAGTTATTTAACTTTTTTTAAGAAAGTGCACCAAATACTTGCAGAGGTTAATCTAAATCCAAAAATAAGTATATTTTTCCATAGATTTACTAGAAAAGCAAATATCTCATCCACTTTTTAAACATTTTCTTATGCATACAAAAAAGACAAATTTAGATTCAGTGTAAATATTTTATTAGATCTTTGAAAATCTCATGTCTAAATAAAAAAAAAAAGATTATTCTGAACAGATCATTGGAAAAACAAATGCCAGTATCACCCAGTTTGAGACGTTATGGAGTTAGACACTGAAGCAGAACAGGCCCAGAGGGATTAACTGTCGGGTCGCTACAGGAAAACTAAAAACGTAACAGTTGGTGTGAAACGATCACATGAGAACAGAATATTTGAATATTTTTTGCGACAACACAAAGACACGGTGACCCTCTGCTTCCTGCACAACAGTGAACACCTGATCAGACACTACGGTAGACTTCTGGCTGCATTTGGCTTCATTAAATATACAAAAACTATAAGTTAAAATAACATTCAAGTTGTATCGCACAAGGCAATGAAAACCTGTTTAAACATTATGTACAATATTAACCAAGTTTAAAATAAAACAAAAAGGTCCCAACATATTTTGTAGCAAAATATCTGTACAACAAAAACCATTTAATGCTGTGTACTTATCACATGAGATGAAAACATGGATTTGTTTCAGTGGTATGTTTTTTTTTCTCTTTTTTTTACATTATAATTACAGTAAAGTGAAAAAAAAAAGCCTGGATTATCACCAATTTGTAAAACATTAAGTGAAAGAAGCTGGAATTTCCTGCTCATGTTGCTTTTAAAAAAGGCATTGTCCGTTTTTGTTCCCAAAACCACAAAAAAAAAAAACAGTGCAGCTACAAAAATATGCACACATGTATTATTTTATTTTTTAAGTAAACACTTATTTAATGATTAAAAGCTACAAATTCAGACTTGACCCATCATTTATGGTAAACATATTTCACATTAAACTGGTCAAATTTAATAACTTTTTTAACAGTATAAATATATATATATTTTTTTGTTTTTCTTCATGCCAGTTAATCTCCCCTTTAAGAACAAAAAAAAAGCCTTACGAGATGCTTGGGTGGGATTTGTGCATACGTTTAAAGAGAAATCATGAAAAGCACCGGAATGCATGACTTCTCTTTAAAATGTGGATTTTAAACAGGTAAAGGGGAAAAGTTCCCGTACATTCCAGGGGTTCACATGTTTGCACGTGGCTCCTAAGGCTGCTGCGAGTCCAGTTTTACACAAATTTAAACTTAAAAGCCAGCTCAAGTTGTATTGCTTTAAGTAAGGTTAATAAAAAAAAACATAAGTTCAGGCACTTGGCTTGTTTAAGTTGTTTCGATTCAACTTTTCTGACATGAGCTCAGTCCTGCACACGTTCCCGCTCCTTCATTGTGAATTCTGCTACTTTAGCACGCACGTATTTAACATAGTCTCATATAAAGTCATCTCAAGAACTGCTACAAACGTCCTTCCTTCCTGCCTCACTTTCTTTCGCCTGCCTCCCGTCCCGCTTCACGTGCACTGTTCCCTCGTCACATGACCATTTCGCCGTTGTTCGCCGGCCGCAGAGTCGGATCCTCGAAGCGTTTCCTGACGCTCCGCCGCACGGCGTCCGCTCGTCTGTACGGCTGATTCCTTAAATCTGGGAAGAGAGGGGAAGGACAGGATTGGACGGTGGACAAAAAGGGACATGTCAGGTCATCTTGGCTTCGTTTTCATGAGCCCACACGGTTTAGGGAGTGCTGGTAGCCTAACTTTCAAAGCAGCGTGAGGTCTAAAACATAAAAAAATGCACCTATAAGTTCTCTGCTATCCAAATWACTTTTTTAAAAGCACTGCAAAACAAACAAAAAAAGGGAGGTAATAAAGAAATGCTTGCCAGGTCTGAGACACATCCACTACAGGGGTGCTACTGGAGGACTTCCTTAACCTCAAGTAGACATTGGGAAATTTAGTAATATTATTCTTCTTGAGTTCTGGATGGAAAAAAAAAGACAAAAAACAAAGTGATGATTAAAAATGGAAGAGGTGGCTGAGCGGAGCAAGTCGGCACCAAAATGTTCGCGCTGGCTGTGCTGAGGGAGCGAAGCAGGAGGCTGCGTGTGGAGACCGGCCAGAGAAATGTGAGAGAGGACAGAGCTAAAGGATGTTAACTGGTTCAACCTGCAAGAGGATGATCAAAGCTCTGTTTTCTTTTTTTTTAATGTCTTCTTCTGTTAATAGACCCAAACTGCTTTGCAAAGTGGCTACCAGCAGGGAGGAAACCTCCAGTTCTGAACTGGAAATATTTTTTTAAAAGGACTCCTGAGAAACTGAGGTTATGTTCACCAGCACCAAAAATAAAAATAAAAAACCCACAGCATGCACGCAGCCAGGAAAACACTCAGTTAATCAGCTCAAACCATGMCAATTCTGCAAAACAAACCATTAGCATGTTAGTGACACACCATGCAGAAAACCAGAAACCAGGATCGAGCGCAGCGTACGGACTTAAGAGCAGGGTTGCATTATGGGAAAGCAGCATAAAYGAGGCAACCGGCATGCGAGAAAGGGCATCAACAGTAATGATAMATGATAACAAAACACAGAGAAGCAAGTTATAATGTCACACATTAGTCATAAACGGAGCTTGTATTTACTGCTGCTGTATAATACAAGGCTGGACTGCAACAGTATGGCCACTAGATGGCAGCACACAGCCGGACTTTTCTTACTAGAAGAGAAAAAATAGTCCCTCTCCCTGTGACATTATTATCTGCCATGGCTTGATGAGATGAGGATGGATGTGGGCGTCACACTTTCATGCGGGTGGATAGAAACAGACATTATCCCAAACCTTTTGTCATGCTTAAAAAAAAAAATCAACACATATGTAGGTGTGTGTGTAGTCCACAGTGTGTAACGGTTAAAGGAAACTGACAGTGACAAGGCATGCAGTGGGGGTGGGGTAGGTGGGAGGAGATTTGGGAGGGGGCGGGACACACAAAGATGCAAACGTTTTTTTTTTTTTTGTTCCAGCAACCTTTGAGAAGAGACACAGAGCTATAAGCTTTAGTAAAGGTGCTCCTCATTGAGAGCGGGCTCGCAGAAGAACCGAGAGCCGCGCTTGGCGGTGCGGGCGGTAAAGGGCACGGTCTTCAGCACTGCATTGAGGGACGACAAACAGCCGGGACAAAAAACAAGACAAACAGTATGAGAAAAGCAAAGTCTTCCACAGGGCTCAGCATCGGTTAGCTCCTGAGCACAAAACAACAGAGGAAAAAAACAAACATCTGAAAGCCTATTCTATAACCCTATTTCCAAACATGTAGAAAACAAAAACACAATTTAGTCTTATTATTGTTTTAAATCCTAAATGTTATTAATAAAGCATAGAAATGAGAACGTGTTTCAGTTATATGACCCTAAAGACCCACAGGAAGGGATTATAATAAAACATATAGAAATGAAATGAACATGCATTTCCCTCCCCACCCCTACTTCCCACAGTCTTGTAAACTGTTAAACTGACAAATGTCCTTTTTTTTATTATCTTTTAATAATTCAGAGGTAGAAACGCTTCGTGAAAAAAATGGCTGTGTCCAAATTCAGGGGCTGGGTCGTCCGAAGGTCGAATTTGTCGGCCGCTTACGCCACTGAGCCACGCCTCAAATTTGAACACTCCTTCAACGCGGGCGACAAACCCCCCACCCCCCCGGAGGGCCGAGCCCCTGAATTTGGAAACAGCAAATGTTTAAAATCCACAACCGGAAGTTTCTCCTTTAGTTGTGACAAAGAACAAAAACATTTACATTACCATTCTGGGAAATAGTCACATCCCGGCCCTGTCTATGTACAGATGATGTTATAAAGCAAAGACAAAGCAGATAAGCAACAATCATCAGCCACATCTGAGTTGAGTAGCAGCTCCTGTTTTCACTCCTTAAAGTCGTGTTAGATGGTTTAGAATCCCCCCGTTAAAGGCCAGGTTTACAGCAGGAGTGGCCCTTCATGCAGAGTGTGTGTGTGTGTGTGTGTGTGTGTGTGTGTGTGTGTGTGTGTGTGTGTGT